ATAAGGCTATGAAAACCAAACGAATTTTAATTTATAGCGATTATACACTTATATAAACATATTAATGGGTAGAATATTCAGATTCAGATTCAGATTTGACAATAAACCATGCCAAATATTACACACTGGTCCTTTAAGGACTTCACCTCAGTGGACATTTTTCACAGAAACATTAAGAAATATAATTTAAACTTGGCTTTGCCTCGTCATTCGCTGCCTCCGTTGTTAAGTCTTATTTTGGTCTTTTATACTGTTATTTATTTATTATGTTTACTGTTTTCAATTTTTTGTTTACTTGTTGCTTCTTCTGTGCTGTTTTAATCCTGCTGTTAAACCCTTTAGGCTGCATAGTTGTATGAAAAGTGTTATGTAAATAAAGTTTGATTTGATTTACTTTTCATATACCCATTACACAGTTTCAAAACCTAACAGTAACTGATCCAGAAAGACAATGTTGTGGTCACATTTACAACTTTTCCACAAGGTATGCCAGTGCTGCTCAATTGGGACAGATATAAATGTTATTATATAGCTGCAGGTTAGTTTACTTCACAGGTAAAATCATGACAAAGCCAGAGCCTTAACTGGACGTCCCTTCACTAATGGGTTAAGGCACGACCAAGCTGTAATACTGCATTTAAATTAAAACACTACACACTTATACGTTCTCCCAGTCACCTAAAAATCTTACAGCCTGGCAAGTGTTGTGGCAGGGCGTCCAGCTCAGCCACCACCTTCCACACATACCTCATCCAGAGGGCCCTGCCTAATCCCCGGCCTCGAGTTAACGTCCTTACCGCTGTGCCTGATGGTGATGGTGGGGGACATGGTGCCCAGGTGGCGGCTGCGGCGGAGGGGGAGGCGGAGGCTGCTGCTGGAAAAGTTGCTGTAGCTGCCTCAGGTGCTGGTGAAACTGTTGCTGTTGCTGCTGCTGCTGCTGATGGATGTGTGGATTGAACATTACGAGCTTATATTTCCTCCGTTTACGTTACACCGTGAGTTGACAGACCAGCAGGTGCGAGGTGCCAGTGTTTTGACACTAGTTATGTATATCTCTGGATGGGAAGAGGAATCAAATCTTGTGTGATAATGTGCCCCGCTGCCAGAACAACTCTTAAATGTAAAGACGCTCTCAATAACAGTGTGCGCACCTCCTCAGACAACAGGTCGCTCTCATATTTCGTGATGACAACTGGCTAGTGCTAGCACGTAAGCAACAATTTACTTTTTTGTTTACTTAAACTAGCTCACTCTAATTTCCTCACTCAGTTTGCCAACATTAGACAGAAACAAGCATGCTGACATTATGTTTTTAATAAAGAGCGGCATCTTATTCCAAAAGTAGCACAAAGTAGAAATAAAGGACAAGCTGCACCTGCTATGAAATGAACGAAGCTACATTAGCAGCAGCTCAGTGACTGAACCCAACAAGTTAGCTTAGCTTAGCATCGAACTAGCTAGCTAGCTCACAGACAAAACAGCTACGCCGTCTGGGACACTTTCTGCATTTTACCTTACCCACAGTTGCCAGGACTTATTTCTCAAAGAGGAGGGTGGCGATGGTTGTTGATTATCCAACTAAAACCATAGTAAAGGGTTGAATACTTGCTCTCAGTCCCGGCCAGTGCAACTCCCATAAAGAAGAGACTGAAAGCAGCGTCCTCTCTGACTGAGGTGAAGTTAGTGCACCCTGTCGCCTCCTGGTGGCTGTCTGGGGAACTGAACATACTATATGTCTGCATTATAAAATGTTAAAGACTAATTAGATTAAAAATGTAATTAAAACTGTAGATTGTAGATTTTATGAAAATTCGTATTAAGATTTCTACATTATATTTTTACACTAGTTTATATGAATAATAACTATAGTGGACCACCACTGTTAAACTAACCTCCAATGGTCATTAAAAACTAAAAGAGAAATTTAATTACTCTGAAACAAACAAGCAGGGGAGAAGTCAAGTAATTTGGGACATTTATTGGTAGTAATTCCAAAGAATACCTTGAGTATTAATTTTAGGGCTTGTTGTGGCTCTCTGCTATATTTAATAATAGAAGATATGTTGCCAAATAAAATAATTTAGAGACACTGGACCTTCAAACACATTTAGGATTCCTTCCTCGCTCTGATTACATGTTCAGGTAAAATGGGACATCCATGTTTGTTTTTTAAATGGTAAATCAATTCATCAGTTCAGCCAATATTTCATTAAATCATTGTAACATATCATATCATCATATGTAACCTGTGGCTATTCATCAAATAAGATTGTCCAACTTTTCTGCCATGCTCTTTTGCTCCCTGTTTCCTTGGTGCTATATTGTCTACAACGGACGTGTGTGTGTGCTTGCATGTGTGTACTAATGAAGGCTAATTTTGTACTATTGTGGCTGACATGGACTCACTGCATCATCTTTAATCTTTTTAAAGCGACATAAATACTAAGCATGTCTGTAATATTACAGGGTGGCACACAGTAGCATAAGTCATAATTTAATGGCACCTGCTAGTCTAAACACATATTGGTTTCACTTCAGAAAAATGTCAAATTCCTGCACATTTTTTGTCTGATTCTACCTGAAAGCATTAGGTACACACTCAAAAACCCTTTTACCATAAAAAATAAAGTGTATTGTGAAAATATTTTGATTATAGCTCAAACATTTAGGCCTAATAAAATGCAACACCCTACAACCAGTCTGTTATCATACTCTCATTATTTTAGCTGCACGATTCCTATTCCCAGAAAGAGAAAATCAACATGCCACATGGTTTATCATAAAAGTTCTGGGACCAGTGCGTTTTTGAAAATTTGGTGTGCCCATCCTAATTATCTCAGACCAATGAAAAGGATTGATTTATGTAAAGCACATTTCTATTGGTGACTGGCTGCTAATATTTAAAGAGCACAAGATGTAAAACCTTACTTGTCCCACATTACCTGACTTCACCCCACTTCACAATGTGACCTCATTGTACACACATTATATACACTCTTTGTTACATTATTATTATTATTATTTTATAGTTTATGTCCATTATGTTGCATATAGCCTACATACAAAACGTATACATGCATATATAATGGTAATATACTATTTTTTCATTGTATATTGTGTTTATTAGCCTATTCACACTTATGCCTACACTTAATCTGAATAATGTATAGTACCTACACCATGAATGCGTGTTTTTAGGATATAATGACATAGATATGCACATGGTTCGAATTACGGGGGAGCCTGAAAGCATCACCTGAGACGTTTAGGGGGAGCTCAAAAGATTGTCCATATTTGTGTTACTGGTTATATTTTATTTTCCCGTACATTAAGGTTTCTGAAACAAAATAAAATGATTAACATAAATATATCAATGGCATGTGTTCATTTGCTCATTATATTCCATTTTCCAAAATCTATCTTCACAAATTAACACAATTCTTTGTCCATTCCTACTGTGGCAATCCATGCGACACAAATTACTGGGTTTACGTAGCCACCTGAACTTCTCATCACAGGGTTGTTTTGGCGCGATAAATCGGCGGAGGTTTCTGTGAAGTGCTGTAAAGTTTAGTTAATTCAAAACACACATTAAACACACATTAAACATGGCTTAATAGAGACAGTTTCAAACACAAGTGCTTGATTTGGCTCCACTATAACTCGCAGCATTCACATACAAACACTTGTCTTTATCTGGACACATTTCCCCGCAAATCCAATATACTAACGTTATTAGCACAAGCCTATGGCATTTTATATTGTATAAATTAGCCTAGCGGCTAGCGATCTTTCCCTCTTCTCATAAAAAAACAGGGACAACAGCAACATTTAACAAAGGTAACGCGACATAAATTGGCTCCATTACAACTCACAAGTTTCACTGACAAAACAACTATCATACTAAACACGTTTTCCAAACAAATACAAAATGCTAACGTTATTAGCACAAGGCTATGGCATTTTACATTATATGCACGTGCATGTGACCTGTTAAGTGGTTGTGCGCACTGGAAAATAGGGCTCCCCGAAAGCCACTGTGTAAGTCAAACCCTGGATATGCATATACTGCATTATAAACAAAGGCTTACGTTTCGTTTCAACAATTCAATTCTGAGCATCGACCACTTAAGTTCCTGCATTCTGGTGAATTTTTTTAATGCACCACAATGTGTGCCTTTTTAGCACCAATTTATGGTGTAAATTTCATTTATTGTGCCAAAATAAAAGTCCTCTACTACTTTAATGCTATTGTTGGGGGTGACAAATGCATGTGTTATAATACTGAGGGGAACGTGAGTTTAAAAACCAACATACCAAAGAGCAGAGTGCCCCCCTGGCCTCTGTCCACGGTGCTAACATATTCAGCACCATGGACAGATCTGACATCTGTTTGGGCAATAACATTAAATACAGGATGCAAAATTTCCCATCTGTCAAAATGCACTTCAACATGATTAGACTTTAGACTTTGAAGTGTCAAAAGATGAAAACAAAAACGGGATTTCCTGTACTGTAAACGTGACAATTTGACAGACAATTACAGTGAGAGTATAAAGCCAGTGTCACCACCAAGCGGTGAGCGTGAGGAACTGCAGGGATCCCTCTCTCCTGAGAAAATACAAGAGATCATCCTCATCCTCATCCTCCCCCCCCTGCGGCGCTCGGTGGAGAGGAGTGTGCATGCTCAGTGCTGGAGAGAGTCCGACAGCTGAGGTGATCTGACACTCCGAGGAGGCGCAGTCAATGAGGGACCGAGCCGAGAAGTGAACCGGTGTGCGCGCGGTCCAAAAACGCCCTCTAAGCGCGAGGGTGGCGAGGAGGGACTGAAGAGATAAAAATAAGAACTAAATCCCTCCCTTGCTCTGACACAGGAAGATAGACTGCACATTGCATCGCAAAGATGGGGAACCGGGGAATGGAGGATTTGATTCCTCTGGTGAACCGCATGCAGGATGCCTTCTCCGCCATCGGCCAGAACGCGAACCTGGACCTGCCGCAGATCGCCGTGGTGGGCGGCCAGAGTGCGGGGAAGAGCTCGGTGCTGGAGAACTTCGTCGGGAAGTAAGTAGCTTTTCCAGGCTGCAATGCATGTTGGTGCATCACACAAGCGGCCGCAGTCGCTTTCATTTCTACACCTCACACATTCTGGTCCCCATCCCCCTTCTGAGGCAGGTTTGAATCCAACGCACAGGCTTCAGTGGATCAGTGCACCTTTTACAAGTCTTATCGTTTTATCTTCTTCCCCAACACCAAGCCAGGAGATTATTTTGTTAGGCCTACATAAATCCCCAGTGAGGTACATCTGTAATGCATTCAGGGAACCTCACATTTCTGTTAAACAACTTGCCATTTACTACACTAAACCACCTCTGAGTATGACTGGTATAAAGAACGCTGAGCGAGTTTCTAAACTTAGTAATATTGTCCAAAATGACACAGCTATACACATGCTTATATTGTAAATCTGATGACATCTGTCACAGAGGCAGGGTCAGTTTACATGCTGACTTCCTGCAGAGCACATACAGCTACAGGCAGCTTGGTGGATGTGTTTGTTTCTGTGGCAGGGCTACCATTTTGTTGTCCTCAGGCTATTTAATCCTGACCAGGCAAGAGTGCAGAATGATGCTAGCTGTGTGTGAATGTGTGCGTGTGAGAGCTTTCAGTCTTGCAAACATGCACAGTTTTTGCTCCTGTCAGAGCTGCTGCTGATGATGCTACAAAACAAAGCCAGGGGAACAAATCTGATCTGTTATGCTGCAGTATGACCTTGCAGAGAGAGAAAGAGAGAGGGAGAGAGAGAGAGAGAGACGGTCCACCTGAGCTTTGAGCCCTTCCAGCTCAGCTCATCCATCTGTCTGCCAGTGCTTATGCTGTAAGGGGAGCTTACAGGCAACAACATGGGTGTCACAAGCTAACTGTTGGTCAGAACTTGCTTGTTTTTCACTTGATCTCAAGATTTTTTAGTGGTTTCATAGACTTTTAATTCATCAGATGCACAGTGTGTGATTCAGCAGTATTTCCTGCGTAAGCAAGGTCAGTGTATGTGTGTATACTGTGGCTCTGAGCCAGCTCAGTCACCCCCACTTTAAACAAGGCCCGGGTATACAACAGGATTCATCTGTGCAGCAGCTGATTTTACACCATCAATCTATTTCCTTACATTTGTTTGACAGTAGAGTCAAAAAGTTCACCATGTGGACAGAGTGCTAGCATGTCAGGCATGCCTGTATGTACGTGTCAGTGTAAATCTACACATGATGCTACCTGTGGGAGGCATATCAGTTATGTTCATAAAGTGGTGACTTCACTTTGAATGTAGCTTATGTGCCTTTTAGGGGATTTAAAGGAGTTCTCCACTGTTTTAGCGTTGCACTCCTACAACATTGTCTGACTTCCGGATGTACACTATAGGTATAAGCTATTTCAGCTGGCATTCCCCTCCCCTTCTGCTATCTGCATGCTAGCGTTTGCAAGGACACTATCGCTGCATCCTTGGCTTAGTCCCACCCAGGATGATTGTGATTGGTTTAGAAATATACAAAGCATTTTTTGCCAATACCAGCATGATGATGAGTGCTTATGGACCTTTCTCTAGCACTGACATTATACTGTGGAGATAGATTTGGCTACACCAGACTAGACTTGCGATTGACATTTAAAAGAATGATAATCTAGGCACTAATTCGGCAGCATGGTGGTGCAGTGGTTAGCATTGTCGCACAGCAAGAGGGTTCCCAGTCCAAATCCAGGGTGGGTGGTTTAAACCCAGGGTAGGGAAGCCCTTCTGTGCAGAGTTTGCAGGTTCTCCCTATGTCAGCGTGGGTTTTCTCCAGGTACTCCATCTTCCTCCCACAGTCCAAAGACATGCAGGTTAAATGGTGACTCTTAAATGTCCGTAGGTGTGAATGTGAGCATTAATAGTTGTTTGTCTCATTATGTTAGCCCTGTGATAGTCTGGCGACCTGTCCAGGGTGTACCCTGCCTCTCGATCAATGTCAGCTGGGATAGGCTCCAGCCCCCCCGCGACCCCTAACAGGATAAGCTGTTACAGAATATTAATGAATGAATGACTTCCACTAAAACGTTTTCCTTTAAAGGAGCTATATGTAAGAAATATAAAGCAAATAGTCATAAAATCCTCTTAATATATCACAGAGAATAAGGAATAATGTTCATATAACATACTGATCTCACCGACAACAATAGTATGGCCAGAATATTCGCATTTAAAAAAAAATTTTACGGCCCGCAAATCATGTTTTGTTTTGAATTTGTGTTTTAGCCTGTTGCGCCACCCACCGCCGTCTACCAGTCACGCAGTCAGTAGAGTCTCAACATCAGTTACAGTTACGACTGAGCTACAGCAGCACGGCAAGCAGCATTAGCAGTGTCCCGGTACATAGCGTTAGCAGCCGGCTCCTCCTCAGCTGTATCCCGGCAGCAGCATTAGCAGTTCATAGCATTAGCAGCTGGCGACGCGGCCCTGCCACGGCAGCCACCCATGGGCAAACAATCAGTCTCCAGCGTGCTGCTGTCCAGCAACCTCGAATCTGTAGGGGAGGGGGGGCGGACACGACTCGTGGCAGTATTTTGAATTTGAGTGCAGTAACCGTTTTGGCCACATTCTTACATACAGCGCCTTTAAACCTGGTGCGTACATTACCCATGGTGCAACTCGAACTGCCGACAGTTTGGTCGTAGATTTGGCTGTGCTATGCTAGTTGCAGCTAATGCATGACATCACTTGAGACCCTTTATCAGATATTAGACAGCTCCCTCTGGAGCTACAGTAGGCTTTATAAAACTATGCAGTAGTACTCCCTTTGATGTGTAAACAGAATTTGATGGGTTAAATTGGAGTCCATATCAGTTGCTAAATACCCTTTAATATGGGAAATACACACTGGCATTTATAAAGCAAGCTAAATTAAGTGTTCTCACCATTCACAGCCTTTATTTTATACTTTCCTCTTCCTTGTCAATAAACATTTTTATGAATGTAATTCCAAAAGCAGTGTTTTGACAGCATCCTACAGTATTGCTTTTGTCACTTGTGTCACTTTTTGGTAAGCCTTTCTCAAAAGCATCAAGTTTTTTTGTGTAATTACTTAAAAGAGTCTCTTAGGAGGGCCACATTCTGTTGCACTCACTGCACAGCTGTAGCCATGGAAACAGCTTGCGCCTAATTACGTTGCCTTACTCGAGGGACCAGTGGTTTACACGATCATGACAGGAGGTGGAGAAGGAAGAACTGAAATGTTGTCACAGGGAGTTTATCAGTAATAAAGATGTTAGATGATTTGTTTGTACGTGTCAGTGAGCACTGCAGTCTGCATCCTGTCATGCAGCGTGTGTGTGTTAATGTATGCGCTCCCCTAGTCCAGCTGCAGTGACGTCGCTCGGGTCCTCCCATCCTCCTGCTCCTCCAGTGTTCAACCCCCACTGAACCATTGTGTTTGCATTATCTGGCCTGAGCCAACACACACTTACAGCATGCTGTACTGTGTGTTAGTCACAGCGTCTCTTTTCTCTGACTCTATCTTCACCTCCCTGCCTCTCATTCAGAAATTCACATTGACGGCTCTAAGAAAGTCATTTATTGTGATGTTTCTATCAGACCAGGAATCTTGTTTGGCTGTTATTGAGCTCCTTGCTTGGTAATCCATTTTACATTTAATAAAAACTGACAGATTTGTTCTCCCTCTGCTTACGGTTAGCACTGACAATCAATACTAAAGTATGTGAGACTTATGAATGGCAGAGAGACATTTACACCATTTTTTATAAGGCATATTAGCTGTTTGAAGCATGATTGACTTTCTGTTTCATTGATTTAGGCAAAAATGAGCAACCACAGGACTGATACAGACCTTGCTGGAAGAGCTTACTGTAACATAGACACTGTCACTCCTGATAGTTAACTGTGACACCTCTCCTCTCAGCTGGATTGGTTTTTAATGCACGCCTGGCAAGGGCAGCCAACCTCTTAGTGGTAGGCAAGCTGTCTAGATATGCCGCACTGATGGCACAAGGGAACATCTAAGGACACTAATCAAATTTATCCTTTTTCTTTTATCTTCTGTCCTTCAGAGGGTTTGATCCTGCTGTCATAATTTGTCCTTACAGTCAACCTTTGTTTTCATGGCTCAGTTTTCTGATTATCACCTCAGTTCAGCTTTACTTCTTAGCTTTTTCTCCTGTCTCATTCATTTTAGATTCACCTCAAAGGTGCTTTGTTGCTGCAAAATATAAAAGTGCAGCAAGGTTAAACTTGAATTACAGAGATGCAGGCTCTCAGTTATGAAGCAATTTATCTTAAAGTCTGCATTTTTTAAATAATGTGGGTCATTGCAGTATTTTTCTCTATTCATTGTTTTCATTTATGCCTTTCTCTTGTCTTAGACAATGACAAGTTGAGATGTATTTGGCTGCCTTTGGTGACTGCTCTTTTTTCCTTTTCTTGAATAAATAGCAGATTTTCACTTTAAAAAGTATCTTTAAATAAAGTATGAAGTACTAGTAATTTTGTTTAGGGGGTGGTAATCTTTTAAGAGCTGCAATTAATAAGTATTTTCATTGTTTTTTGATCTTTTGAATAATTTTTCAATAAAGCGATTAATAATTTAGTTTTAAAATGTCAGACAATAGCACAAAAAAAATGCAATCAGAAGTTCCCGAAGCCCAAAAACAAGATATTTGATTTGCAATGATACACAAGCAGTGCTTACAGCTGCAAATATATCTGTTGTACCTGTACACACAGGTTAAGAACTACTCTACGGTATATTCATCTTATGGTTGTGTCCCATTGGTCCTCCTGTGATTTGACAGTAAAGAAGACATCTCACAAATCTGAATATGAGCACCTCCTCCGTTTCCCATCCTGCACCTGTCACCCAGTCTGTTTTTATCTCTCCCATGAGTTTAATTAGCAGAAACAAAGCAGCGAGCTTTACTGGTCTCCAGTGCCCAACTCATGCAGCGCCAGCTGGATGAAACCTGTTAGTGCAGGTGGAGGTGGAGACATTTGGCCACAAGCTGACATTTGACTGAATTTA